GAATATCGGCTTCTTTCATTCATGTTATGGGTATTTTTATACAAAGGAAATTTTTTTGTGCCTGTTGAAAATTAAGCTGACTGACAGCCATAAAAAAATGTTGCTTTATTTATCTGACCATATTGGAATGTATTTGTTAGGTTTTCAGTCAATTAAATTTGATTCAATAAACAATGTGTGGTCATTTTTAAAAATTTCAATGAACATTCGATCAGTCCGGCCCTCGGCTTGCAGCAAAATTTTTTATCTGGCCCTCCGTCCATTTGACTTTGACACCCCTGGTCTATAGCGATCGCTTGGTTCGGCATGCACTGAACACGAAACATTATTGAGTTTCGTGCAAGATACAAGGCGCTGCGTTCAAAGTACTGTACTAATTTCGGTAAATGGCATCGACACCAATAGCAGCATTTTATTGCCATGTCAGGGCCACCCCCGATTCTAGTGTTGGTATCGGTGCAACACTACCATTTACCTCATCTAGAATGTTCCATGAGGAACATAGACATCATATTTAATGGTCTATACACCTCGATAGTAGCATATTTACAAATATTTCACTTTCTCTACGTAAAATCCTATTTAATGGTCATGCACCTTGACCGTAACATGTTTTCATCATATTAATAGATTTTTCTGCGTGTGTTTTCTGTCCTCCAGATGTGCCTTCCAATGGTCTCTACTTTCTGACGTATGAATATCTGAAAAACCTCTTGACTCCAGAAGGTCAAAGGTAAATGTAGTAGAGGTTATAGATGAAGAAATCTTCATGCGAGCTTATCTTTGTATGGCTCTGTGTTTGGCTCTGTGTGCGTTTGCATGTGTGTGTGTGTACATGGCTGTTAGTGTTTCTCAGCTTGGCGCCGCCTCCATCCTGTTCGCTGGCGGCGTGGCTGGACTCTTGAATTGGACCATTGCGCTACCCCCGGATGTCCTCAAGTCCAATTTTCAGACAGGTGACACTGCAACACTTGCTTCAAACACTTCTCCATGGATGGATCTGAACACTCCCTGGGTGATAGTAATGTAAACAAATTCACCTATTTACTTAATTTGGGGTGGGGGGTGTGGGGGGGGGGGCATGTATCCTCAGGTTTTTGCAGAAGAACTCACCTATTTGAAGTGTTTGTGCTCTTTATTTGATGTCAGAAGAGGCTGCCAAAGCTCTGGCTGAATAGGAAAGTAATACTTGGTATCAAGGACATACATATATTGAAGTGCGATCCATCATGACAGATGAGACAGACTTTGTATGATGGGGAGGAGCTACATTTAGCCTTGGTTGTTAGTGGAAGATACAAAATGTCTTCACCACATGCGCACATTGATCCTTTCATCCATCCATTTTCAACATTGCTTTTCCTGAAGAGGGTCGCGGGGAGTTGCTGGAGCCTATCCGAGCTGACTTTAGGCGAAAGGCGGACTGCACCGTGAACTGTTCGCCAGTCAGTCGCAGGGCACATGTAGAGACAAACAACCAGTCACACCCACATGCAATCCGTCACTGAGTGGAAGCTGATCCCACGCTGCCCGCACCCAAGCCCAGCGAGTGTACCACTACACCATCAGTGATGCGCACTTTCAGTGATTTGAAAAAAAAAACCCCAAAAAAACAGTTTTTGAGGTTACGTTCAAAAGACAAGTCAAAGGTTTTGGGGGTTATAGTGTGTGTGTGTGTGTGTGTGTGTGTGTGTGTGTGTGTGTGTGTGTGTGTGTGTGTGTGTGTGCGTGTGCGCGTGCGCGCAGCCATAGACGGCAAGTACAGAGGTCTGGTGGACGTCTTGAGAACGCTGCTACGAGAAGAAGGAGCAAAAGCGCTCTACAAAGGCTTCATGGCCGTGTTCCTCCGAGCCTTTCCCGCCAATGCTGTACGACTCATTTCCTCTCGCTCTCTTTTGCTGATAAAAAGCTTTCTAAAACTCCTTCTCTCCCATTATCAGGCATGTTTCTTGGGCTTTGAAGTGGCCTTAAAGGGTTTGAACTGGCTGGCACCCAGCTGGTGAACCTGCGAGCTTCTGTGGCCAACAAAGTGCTGGGGCCGTGCTTCTGTGGAATTTTCCTTCCATCACATTCATATGGAGCCCCATACATGACATGGGGAGAAACTATTTAAAATTGTTTCCAAAATATAGATACAATGTCTACACAAAATGCTAATTTGTGGTCACAGAGGTGTCCAAGTTGTTCACGGGAATGATATTAAAGCCACAAATTATTATTTCATGGCCATGAATATGCATTTTGTGCACGTGTTAGCGGTATTGTTGCTGCAATTTATTTTTCTTTTACCCATGTGAAGTGTGGGGCTGTCTACATTTATTCCTTTTTTGTTTGACTTTGTCGCATGTTTAAAAAAAAAAAAAAACAATCGGTGCTGATTTATCGACCATGATAGATGTACATGTGGACTTGTATTGTTTCTTCTGAAACTTTTTCAAGTGCTTGTATGTTTTTTTAACTGTTTTCAGTAAAGCTTTTTTTTTAATTTTCAAACTTTTTTTGCCAAAAGTAATCTTAGCCAATGCAATTTGGCAGTGTAAAAGCAACTATAAATAATGACTAAATTTCCCCAGTGTGGGACAAATAAAGGATATCTAATCTAATCTAATCTAATACCTGTATAAGTCGACAGAAACTGTACAATGTGATGTCCACAAAACACAAGAGTAATAATAAAATCATAAATAAACAGATAGAATTATTTTAATGATTTCACCTGGCCTCTTTTGTTGAAATTATTTTAGATAATTGCTATTACATTGTACCTGATGTGGTTGTCTCATGTTAAAGTCACAAATCAATGGTTTTCACGTATGAATGTGAAGTTTGATCCACTTTTACAATATTTAGTGTTTGTGTGATAAATGTGGGCGACACATTGGTAGATTGGTTAACACGTCCTCCCCATAGCTCTGGCTATCCTGTGTGGAGTTTGCATGCTCTTGCCGTACCTGCGTGGGGGTTTTTCTGTTAACTCAAGTTTCCTCCCACATTCCTAAAACATGCATGATAAGTTGATTGAATGTTCAAAATTGTCCCTAGGTATCATTGTGAATGCGTTTTTTAAATTAATTTATTTTTTGTATACTGTATGTGTGCCCTGCAATCGGCTGGCAACCAGTTCAAGGTGTACGCAGCCTGCTGGCCGAAGACAGCTGGGATAGGCTACACCACGCCCGCGAACCCCGTTAACCGTGAGAACAAGCAGATTAGATAGATAGATAGATAGATTGATAGATAGATAGATAGATAGATAGATAGATATCGTTTGGTTATTTACTAACCGGACATTGGAAAGGCTTCAAAATGTCATTCTTTTGGAGTAAAAACTACAGTACCCAGAATCCTAAACGGCATTACACTTCCGGGTTATGCCGATAGCCTGTCAAAAGGAAAAAAACAAGCGAGGTAAATGTTTTAATCTGTTTGTCATTGTTTTTGTCTCGTGGTTTTAAGGATTTATATAATTAATCAGTTGCCCATATTAGTAAACGTCACCTCATTCCTATTCAAGTTTTTGTGTGTGTGAATGTTAACAGTCTATTAACTCGTTAGCAACCATAGTTTGACTTCAGGAGCACCCCTTTAACCTCGAGAGCAACATACTAAAAATCATGCGCTTGCAACTTCCACACTCAGCAAATAATATTTTGGCGATTTAATATGTCGCTTAATTGAGCAATCTGAAAAGTCCCACGAGTACAGGTTTTAGGCGTGAATTTTACGTTGCACAACAAAGTGTCACTCGTATGCATTTTCAAATGACAAATGACTTAACTTCTCTTGGTAAGTGAATGAGGGAAAGTAAGAGCACAGATGATTGTGATCAGTCAGTTAAAGTAAAACGTGCAGATTGACGTTGAGGTTTTTAAGGCAACGATCAGTATTCGAAACTGAGACAAGCTACTCGGATTGTGTGTTTAATTAACTTGAGAGTGCTAAAACAAGAGAATACACTTTTTTTTCCACGAAGTCTGTGTTGACAAAGCCCTCGTAAGAGTTGTTCTGTCTGGTCCAACCAACCATTACAACGGCAGTCACCTGGTTCTTTTCTCCTTATTAACAGGCAACATGCCACCCATATGATGTACTGGGAGGGCAGTCAATCTGATTTAAGATAAGATTTAATTACATTAATTTTGTTAGCAACTTTCTTTCAAGCCCATCATTACTGACACAAACAACATTGCTGTAACAATGAGAAGTTACTTTACAAAACACAGGTCCGCATTGTCATCTTAGCGAATTTGTAGCGATAATTTAGCATCTTTTCTGACCCTTCCAGCAATTATTTTTCAAAATCACTGGCGTTCCAAGACCCGATAAGAAACAGACAACATGACTGCAATCATTTTCACATGGTTTTGTGTATGACAAGAAAGGAGCCCGGTGGAGGGCAATCACTGGGTCAGTTGGATGAACATGGCAAAAGACATGATACACATTTCATACATTGCAGAGCCAGTGATTTATCCTCATTTTGGAAATCTTTGACCTGAGGTGTGGGCGCCTTCTAGAATTTTACACCAGCCGCCCCATTCCATTCCAAATGGAAAAAAAATATTTTAGCTTTGTGTTTACATACATGTGTTAACATATGGGTCATATTTCCAAGAGGAAGCATTTCTTTTCACATCATGTACATGGAAGCAAAAATAATAATTAGTCATTATTTTAATGGAAATTAATGTAATTTAATACATTTGTCAGTTACTTGTGGGCCACAAATGACCAAACAAACATTACATTAAATGATGCCATGTGACATTTGCTTGTGTGTCCTGCGCCATATACAATACTGCTCATAATATCTATACTGTGTTTTGTTGTCTGGCATGTCGCACCAGGTGAATGTGTGTGGTTGTAGCGCGTGTGGAAAAGCACCATGCCACTGGAGGTCAAGTGGCCATTTCCACAATGCCCGACTTTGGCGTGGAGGCTCTCCGGCTCGCTTATCATGGGTCTGGTGGGCTCCTACTCCTACTTGTGGACTAGTAAGTTGCATCTACCGTCACTAGCAGTGGTTAGGTTCAAAAGGTGTACTGTAGAATCTTTCCAGGGAATTGCTGAAACATTTCTGGTAAATTCCCAGAAGAAGTTACATTTGGGGAAGTTTAGAAATATCGTTTGTTCTAATGTACCTATATTCCAACAATTCATGTTATTTGCCTTGGACATTTTTTAAGTTTAAAAAGTCCCCAAGTTTGTCAACCCTATCAATGATTGCCATGAGAACCTTCTCATCACTCGTCAGCCTTGTTGGTATTCCCGTAGAGCACTTGAACTGCCTGACGGTGCACAACCACGATGTTCTGTTGGACCTGATCGACCAGCGGCCGGCTGATACGCCCCTCATCACACTTTCCAATCACCAGTCCTGTATGGACGACCCACACATCTGGGGTGAGAGTCTACCTCAAGCAGTGCCGGTACATCAGGAAAGTAAACAAATTGTGTGTGTGTGTGTGTGTGTGTGTGTGTGTGTGTGTGTGTGTGTGTGTGCGTGTGCGTGTGCGCGCGGTAGGTGTCCTGAAGCTTAGGCATTTGTGGAACTTTAACAAGATGCGATGGTAAGCACACTTTCAGCTTGATCAAAAATTGTTTTTGTTTGTTTGGTTTTTTTTGTTTGCCTGATGTCAGGGATGTTCACAACATTTTTTTGTTTTTACAACAGTATTGATATTTTAACATGAGCCAAAAATGATACAGTGGAACCTAGGGCTGGGTGATGTGGCCTTAAAATCTCATCTTATTTTCACATAAATTAGCTACAATTTATAGGATTAAAACGTTATAACAAAGCTAATTGTGGTAATGCTGTTAGCAAACACTCATCTGCGCTAACACAGAGTCATGGTTTGAGGTTTTATGTCGAACATGAAATGTTTAATTGAACTTTTATTCGAACAGGACTCCAGCGGCATCGGACATTTGCTTCACAAGAGAGTTGCACTCTCGATTCTTCAGCCGAGGGAAATGCGTGCCCGTCTGTCGAGGTGAGCGACGCAAGCATGTCGTCTGACTTTTTTTTTTTTTAAATCAGTTTACTGTTGGTATTTTATGGCCCCTTATTTAGGTGATGGTGTTTACCAGAAAGGCATGGATTATATTCTGGAGAAGTTGAACAAAGGGGAGTGGGTGCACATTTTTCCCGAAGGTAGGACTTGACATAGTGTTTCGAATGTGCTATTTAGAATGGATTGTTGCAGTCGCTTTAAAACCATTTACAGGTACATTTCAAGCAATCAGAATATGGTGGAAAACCTACGTTAAAATAGTAGTTGTTTATTTGTCATAATTATTCTTGTAAAGAACTTGCAGCACAGTATCATTGCCATTGTCATTAGCCTAACAAAGCCTGAGTCCGCTATCTTAATGCTGACGTATGATGGGAAACTCCTTAGAAGCGCTCACAGTAACTAGCATTACTATTGGGATGGGATCATTTTAAACCATCAAATAACTGCCGCAGTGCTACATGTCGGTAACACATACAAATAGAACATCCAACAGTATGTTCAGGCAAATTCTCTGTTCTGGGGAAAAATCTGAGCTGCGGGTATTTAGAAATCAATTCACCTATCTGGCTAAGGTGTGCATACCAGAGGAGGCAGCACAGATTGCATAAAATGGGTCGCTTCTGTACAGCTTATGAGTGAATTTTTTTTTTTTTTTTTTTTTTAAGTGGATGCATCCCTTAAATATTAATTGCCTGGCTGGGTCCTGACGATCGGCTTATTTGCTTGTGATGAGCTTGCAAAAGAAAAGTACTTCTAATCTCTCATTCGCTGTTGACTGTCATCATTAATCTCTCTTTTTGCCTCTCCCTTTACTCTCCATACATCTCCTTTAAGGGAAGACTTCTTTTTTTTCCCCTCTCTATAAAGATCTTTGAACCCGCGTGGCAGTGGCATGTAATATCAAAATTGTGATAGAATTTCTCCACCTACATTATTTACAGTCATGGAGATTTATAGTCTGCGTTGGGTTTCATATCCTCCATTCCCAGGGTGCATCTTGATGTATTCCTGTTATAATGCTCTCGCCGTTTTGCAGTTCTTCAACTCGGATTCCGTGCGGGATACGCGCGCCTTATAATCTTCGAGTATTTGTATCAGTCATCAACGTTTATAGGCTATCAAGCTTCATTCATGGAAAGGCAACAAAGAACATTTTTCCACTGTTGACATTCCCAACTGGGAGCTGCACTGTGGGAATTCTGCCCACTACGCAGCCTCCACGCCGTAGTGGATTTTTCATCTCGAAAAGTGGATGCATCTTATACACCAGTGGGGTCAGTAGACCAAATTTTCCGGTAATGTTACTGTTTATTGAACAGGTAAAATCAACACCAGTGAAGAATTCATCAGGTTAAAATGGGGTAAGTGCATCGCATGACGCCCATGTGCATATGTTGTGACGTGTTGCTTACACAAACCACCTGTCGTCTTTTAGGTGTGGGACGCCTAATAGCAGAGTGCACCCTCAATCCTGTCATCCTGCCACTGTGGCATGTGGGTAAGTGAGACACGGCTCTTCTTTCCGAACAAATTTCATGTTTCATTTTCCCTGACCTTCCTTTTGGATGTTTGTTTCTTTGGTCCACCATAAATGTTTAAAGGTCAAGGTGTTCTCCTGCATGTTTAGTCATTGAAAATAAATGAATTGAATTCATTATACCAAACCAAAAAATGAACACACTGCAACTTTTCCCCCTCAGGCACTGTGCCTGGAACGAAGATGTGGTTTATTTCCATATTTTTCCAATCCCTCTTCCATCATGTTCTTTTCTAGTCTTTGTTTTTCTTCCACTCGCCAAAATTATGTTTACTGTTTGTGATTTTTTCTTTTAAATGAATGACATCCTTGTTAATATGTTATCGGTTCTCGTTTTTGAATCGAATTAGCACAATTGATACCTTCCAATTTCTATTCATTGCTGTTGGATTCTTTTTATTCTCTTTTTGTTGTTTTATGTTTTTGTATTTTTGTTTCTCTGTTACTTTGCTTTTGTTTATTTTCGACAGTCAGATTAGCATTTATTGTTCTCTCTCATATTTGTACTTATTCTGCCATCCCTAAATGTGCAGTGTCTACTTTGGCAGGAAGACAGCATACATTACATATCTGTTCGTTTAATGCTAAGGTACAATGGGAAAAGCCATAGAGGGGGTTTACAGAAATTAGCTTCCCATTTACTGTCATTTGTAAACAATCAAACAACTGTTATATCGCATAAACAAAGCGTAAACAAATAGACACTCATGTATTCTCTCTGCTCTGTGGGAACCAATTTGCTCGAAAAACTGCGTTTGATGGGACATGTAACCCTCTTTGTAACAGTTTTTATCTTTTGTGTCAGGCTTGAGTGATGTCCTTCCCAATGTGAGCCCCTACATCCCCCGGATTGGCAAGGTAGGAACATCCTCCTGATATTCTCCCGCATTCTCGCATGCCCATGTGACAGCAGCCTCCGATTAATCACTTTTGTGCTTCAAGAGAATCACCATACTCGTGGGAAAACCTTTTCGCGTCAAAGACCTTGTGGAAAAGCTCAGAGCAGACAACAAGAGCCAGGTGAGGCATTATTAGGTCATCTCAAATAGTCATAAAGCCTTGACTGATTATATTTCCTGTTGTTTGTTTTGATGGAACATCTACAATGTTCATGTATCAATGTGGTCTGCTGCAGGTGTAATCATGTGTGTGTGTGTGTGTGTGTGTGTGTGTGTGTGTGTGTGTGTGTGTGTGTGTGTGTGTGTGTATATTGCCACACACACACACACACACACACACACACACACACATTTTGTTCGACTTCGGAGGTGGTATGTTCCGCTTTAAATGTTCCAGTGCTATGTGTGCATTGTGGCATCAGAGACATTCATATGTCCTCTCCATCAATTTACTGTTGCAGATGGAGATGAGGAAGACACTGACAGATGTTATCCAGGTGGACTTCCAGAGACTTAAAGTTCAAGCTGAGGCACTCCACAAATCTTGAACCTGGCACACCTTCACCTGAAGACGGGTCAGGCCACAACATGCGGAAGGCCATTTTATGCAGGAGTGTGCCAGAGTGGAAAATATTTTTATCAAAGGACCTCAATGTGTGACCACAACTCAAATGTTTTAAAACATGCTGGATGGGACTGAATATTAATTGACATAATTCATGTTTGAACGTGTGATGTATTTTTCCTTGAATGGTTTGTTTACCATTTTAGGGTTGCATTCTGTTATTTCTTATTTCATCGTTCCATGTATAATTATTTTTAGCACACATTTATTGTCCAGATCAATGTTGGAAAAAAAGTCTATTTGGCTGCTCCTTCCCTCTCACTCAGTGTCAATGCCTATAAAGTTTTTATATGTGGACCCATGTGTGGTGGTAATATGTATGTTTTCCTCAAAAAATTAATGTAAAGACTGGACACACTTTATTGAAACCTGCTTCCCAAGCTCAAAGTGAATTTTTTTATGCTTGCACTAACAACATGGCTGCGAGCAGCGAGGACCCAGTTTACAAAAGCAAGTCTTTGCCAAGTTAGCGACTTTTCAAACCCTTTGGCGACTATTTTAGAAAACACTGATTGACAACTTTAGTTTCTGCAAGAAAACAGACAACATGAATGGATCATTTTTATATTGTTTTCTGTATTCCAAGAAAGCACCTTAGTGGAAGGCAATCACAGTCAGTTACAATAAACATTGTAATGATGGTACCCATTTACACCTTGCAATAGTGATTTAGCAACAACTTTTGACCCTAAGCCAACTTCCAGCTACAAAAGTCTTATTGTGATCATTATTCGTTTTATGTATTTATTTGTTTGTTTCTTTATTTATTTATTTTTAGGGAGGGGCGGGGGGGGGGGATAATACTTAACGGCTGCGCGAACCAGATTGCGAAGTGACGCGGTCTCTTCATCCACTGCCCGTGACGTCACACGCTGGGATAACCGAAGATGGCGACTACCCGGACGCTTCTCTTTCGTCGCATCTCCGCCGCCCTCCTCGTCCTGCTGCTCGGCCTGCTGGGCAGCTGCGAGGAGCAGGTGCCGCTCGTCTTGTGGACGCACCAATGGTGAGTCCATGTTTGTTAATTTTTGGCATGTCTGTTTTTGCTGCAAGGGACTGGGGCTTGTGGCGCAACGACCGTGTGTAAGCCACCTGACACCTAGCATCCTTATGTGAAAAACACTCAGATGTCCGCCGTGAGACACATAAATCATACGGGCGTGCCATTTAATGAATCGCGCAATTGAGAATGGATGGATTGTGTGTAATTGTTTGGGAATGAATCGCACCATGTGGCCATATATATATATATATATATATATATATAATACGCACAAGCGACAGCTATAATTATTAATTGATTAAACGACCATAAGTAAAACTAAAAAAGTGCAGACTCTTAAAAGAGAATTAAAGGCAAAAAATGCAGTTGCATTATGTTCCATCCAGACACGGCTCCAAGGGAACTCCTGGGGCTCAAGGCTGCTTGTTCGATATATAGAGGGGCTGAGAAAACAATTTATAAATACATTTTAACATATCAGGCTTCACGTGGCCCCACTTGTAAAAACATGGTCTTCTGCTTACTATCGCGTTTGTGGAATAAGAATAAAGTTTTTTTTTTAGCCCTTGTGAATGAAATTAAACCTTCTGTATGTTTCGCACATATTGCAGATGGACAATAAAAGCATACCATGCTATACAATATGATTCCATTATATTTGCGTATATTACGGTTTACACTTTTTCGGTTTTGCACAATAGGCTAAATGGTAAACATTTGTAATTGATTCTCCAAAAAAAAGTTGTTCCCCTCCCCCAACCAAAAGTACCTTGTTGTGTTCCAATCTGCGCAGTCATCCAAAATCAATGGTGTTTTGAGTTGTCTTATGTTGATCAACGCAAACAATTTATTTTTCTTTTTTGATGGTCTAACATGCAGCAGGACACAATTTTGGTGTAGGAAAGAATCAAGCATCACACATGGGTTGATTGTGACAATCGTGCTTTTGCTACTCTCATTCTTTTCATGGATCTTCTACAGGACCCCCCAAGCAAACCAACCCCTCCCTGCAGCGGGTCAAATTGTGGAGCAGCAGCAACTCACCGGTTACCTGGACAAAACTCTCCACACCGGCCCCCGAAATGTTCTGCTGTTTCTTCAGGACAAGGTATGTGCATTGTACATTCTTTATTTATGTAGCACTTTTCATACAGAAAAATGCAACTCAAAGTGCTGTGCAATTAAAACTTCTAAATTACAACATAAAAAGAGGACCCCTGCCACTCACCCAAAATACACAGATTCATATCTCCACACAAACATGCACACACACACACACACACACACACACACACACACACACACACACACACACACACACACCGGGGGAAACTTTACAGTGTTTCCCCCGGTAAAAATGACTGTCCGGATTTATTGAAACGTAAATTTTGATGAGCTAAAAAACAGGATCTTATGACATCGATTGTATTTCTGAAGTGGTCTGCAAAATCCTCACGGAGAGAGTCTGTTGGTGTCAGTGGGGACTTTTATAATTTTTAGAGTCTCTGCACTCCTGCACTGTCTTTTTGACTTCTTCATAAAATAATTTCTCCGTGGCTGCACAAGTCTTTATTTTTAAAGTTTTAGTTAAAATTGGAGCCACTGAATCAAGTGTTGATTTCATTCCCGTTAAAATAATCATGAATAATATCACAGGGTGCAGGTAAAATGTCAGCAGGAGTGCTCTTTAAAATCTCGATAAAATGTGCAGCCACCTCAGAAGTTAGTTTGCGTTTCCTCACTGTTCTCACCGGTCTTCCTGCTGATTAAAACTGGCGATGTTAAAATATACACAGTCGTGGTCTGACACAGTCAGGTCAACAACAGAAGACATGCCAACGGACAGGCCGTAAATTATGCCCACATCCAGGGTGTGTCCTCTGTTGTGAGTCGGCTGTGAGACATGCCGTTTAAAATCTAGTTTAAAAGGTTTAAAGATTCCCTGGACAGTGGGTCCGAGATGTCGTCAACATGCACATTAAAATCGCCAGTTATTAAAAATCTGTTGTAAGCGGTATGTAAAATCGATTTAAAACTCGGAAGACTCACTCATAAAAGAAGTGGAGTGATGGAGAGGTCTTTAGACAGTGATGCAGAGAATGGGAGGACTGCTAAAAAGAAAGGCAAGATGTTCAAAAGATAAATACCTGCTCAAAATGATCTCCTTTGAGATAAGAGAAGTTTTCAAAATTGATGCAGTCCCGCCTCCTCTTTTACCGTCCTGGTAGAAAAAAAAAAGTTAAAATTTAGTGGGCAAGCCTCGGTGAGAACAACTGGACCATCTGTGCCAAGCCATGTCTCTGATAAAAGAATACCGTGAAGATTGTTTTCTAAAATCAGGTCAATGGTCATAAAAGTTTTGTTCAAAAGAGAGCGCCCGTTCAGCACGGCCAGATTAATTTTTGCGTTGTACGTGCGCTCATGGTTGCAGGAATAAGACGTGCAAACACGTACAAGATGGTCACTGTTGTCTTTTCTCCAGATGAGCGTGGAGGATTTCACACTGTATGGAGGAGTTTTTGGAAATAAGCAGGACAGCGTTTTCCCCAACCTGGAGGTTGGTTCAGGTTTCTACTACTTAGGTGTTTCATTGCCTCCTCCTCGTGTTGCTGTAACTTTCCATGAACCATGCAATTGCACTTAGCATTTTGTATGTAAAAAGAATAAGGACAATGATAACTTTATTTCGATATTTCGAAGCAATTTTTCTCATTTGAAATAATAAGGAAATTAGTACTGGGCAATCCATCGTATTGTATTGGTTAATTTGATAGCTTTTATTAAGATTCCTGACAACTCTTGAAAAAATAAATACCACTTTTGAGTGGCAGATGCTAACATCAGCTGTCTGTTGAAGAGTGCTCTGAGGTCATCGTCCTCCTCCCTGGTGCTTCCGACCGTGTCCTGGCCGGGCTCCAATGCAGTGATGGGTCTCCTGCAAGAGCAATTGGAAACCTCCCCTTTATACATGGACCCCGACACGCTGAGTCAGCTCACACTCAACTCCTCCTCGCCGGCACTGCTCGTCTTCCGACTGCCCTACTATATCGGGTCAGTTCACCGGCTACAACTCAATGAGTGGTTGCTCCTCTAATGCAGTTTTCACAACCTTCATTGAGCCGGGGCACAAAAATCTCACAGGACACCACCAAACAAAAATTACACCCAGAGGAAACTGTAGATGCTGGAATAAAAAGGTGATCTCATCTCAAGTTTTACTCACTAATGTTCTTATTCAATGTGAAATCTGGGCCTGTTTAGTTGAACACGAAGCTATTTATTCTTTTGTACCTTCCGGTGGAAGAGCTTTTCATTGTTTTTTGTTTTTTTTACCTGTCGCTATATGTCGCTGGCGTAGCTAGATGAACAAAAATAAGCTTTTTGTCATAAGTAACTTTTTAGTCCAGATGTGTGTGCAATTGAATAATTTCCTGCAGCACACCTGATGGTCACTCACACACTCTGAGGGTTGTTTTGACTGCCCAGTGTGAAAATGTATCTTTGTTTTGCTTTTAGGTCAGATCTAATGTCTGCCAAAGAAGTTCTCAGCGGCAACGGTAAGTCACTTTTCACTCGGGCTTGTTGTCGTTGCTTTCAAAATGGCCGACCTTTTAGCAAGCGGGTTCGTGTTGCCTCCTTTAGACGAGGTGATTGGCCAGGTTGTGAGTGTCATGAAGAGCCAGTCTGTTCCCTACACGGCCATCTACACCGCCTTGCGCCCCTCTAGGGTGAGTCCGCGTGGCCAAACACGGCAGTGAATTCAGATTTAAATTAGCTGTTACAGACAAAACGGGTATTTGAGGAAGAGCAATCGATCGCAGATACACAGATCGCCTCTTCAGCGCCTCAGTTTTTGAGCATGTGACCTGGGGCTTTTCCAGAAAGTCACATCTCCTTTGCAGCTCTTAACCTTTATAGAACCCTCCCTTAAAAAAGACATTGAGACAGGGAGGAACAAAAAGATGCTTCTTTTCAAATGGAAAGGACGGTTTATTGTTTGGTACACATCACAATGAAGCAACATCGTCTGTCCATCTCAGTTTTTGTTTTTTCTTTTCTTCAACCTAACAGCATGTCCGCATTGAATTCCATTAGGCATTCCATTGAATGCTTTCGGCATTGCTGACACTTGGGGGAAGAAACAATGGTGAAAAACAGCAACAGGAATAACCGTACTTGCTAATGTGTAATATCGGAAGAAGAGACAGAGAGACAACAAAAAGCAGTAACAGCACTCACGTGTGCGTGTGCTTTTTGTTTGCAGGGGTCACCGTCGCTCTCCATGGAGGCGGCGCTGTTGGGCGGCCGCTCACTGCTGCAGGCCAGAGGCGGCTACAGAGATCGGGAGCGAGAGCGCGAGAGGCAGCGCAAAATGAAGGAGAAGGCTGGCGTCTACGCTCCAGTGGAGTTTAAGGTCTCTTGTTTTTTTTTTTTTTTTTTTTTAACTTATACAAAACATAATTTTCTTTTCTTCCTCTTTTCCACACGTAACCTTTTTTCATTTAGGTTTATTCAGTCTCTTCCGAACAATGTTCACCATGTTCAGAATTCACCATAAAAAATCCTGTGTGCTGTCGACACCGACAACGGCCGAGCCACAGATAATTGTGACATGAAATGATAGCCCCGAATAGCAAAAATCTGCCAATAATTGACACCCCACCCAAAGCTTTTGCAATTATCTTTTGATGCCACAGCGATGCACCAAAGCACTGTTTATTTCGACATTACTGTGAGCGTTCATTTCAACCCACTTCAATAGACTTCCTTCATACCAAAATGCCACCAGATGGCACCCCATCAATTGGGATTACTGTGTTGCTATTATTCGACTAATTCTTCTATCACTCTTACTCAGTAATAGCAATGCCAGACCTGTCAAGAACACAAAAAAAATATGATTAAATACCATGGAAAGTATTTCCAATTGTGTGTGTGTGTGCGTGTGCGTGCGCAGGAGGGTGAGAGCAGCTGCATCCTCTTGTGGGCTAAAGGTCTGTCAGTCAGCATCCTTCGCAGCGGCCGCTGGGAGTCACACGACCTCACCCCGTCCACCTTCGGTGAGGGCGTCAGTCCAAAGCTGCACGGTTCCAGTTGCGACAAAACCAAAGCAAGGTAAGGCAAAGCTATCGGAGCGCCTTGACTTTTTTGAAAAGTGTGAACTTCCTATTTGGGGTTTGTTATTCATGAATTCGCCAATTTGTTGTTTTTTTTTCCTGTCGAACCTATTCTTAGCTATTTTCTAGAAAATTCCACAATTCATGTCTCTGGGTGCCTTTGCCAAATGTTCCTGTAAGGGCGCCCCTTTCATCTCCTGTAGTATTTTTTCTTTCAGGTGTGATTGAATACAGCCATTCCCTCCTATCGATCTTCTTGGACATACAGCAAAACACTGAACTCATTCACTCCCAAAGACGTTTTTAAACGTCTTTTCAGACTTGGTCCAGAATTGGCTGGTACTGAATGAGTTTAAGTATGTTCAAAAGGGTTCTGTGCAGTCTTCAGGCAACAAGGGACTGAGTTGATTCCGCCCTCTGCTGGTTGAGAGAAGCAAATAGATCTACAATGAGGCGGCTTTTCATTTTGAACTAGTGATTGTAATTTTCATAATTGTAATTGTTTTGTTTTTTAGACTGGCCCTTAATTACGAGAACATTCTTGGACACCGCGACTTCAAACTGATGTGAGTCTGCTTGAAACACCCACTTTGAACTAGTGACGGATAAATTAAGCTTCATAAAGCATATTTGACCGCTAAGGATGGTACTCTTGGAAATGTAGTAGATTTCCATTGAACTAGCCTTTATTTTTCAACCAAAAGCACCATCTAGAGGTGTAAAAAATATCACAAGTGCTTCATGAAGCTTCACTTTCCCAATACTTTACTACTCTGAACTGTACAGTCAGACCTCTGAGATGGAACACAATCTGTTCTGGGACGTCAACATTCTTTCCCCATAAATTGAAATAATCTTTTTCAGGGTGAAACTGCCATCAGAGTGAAAGCTTTATGATACCATACTGTGCTGCACCGTACTATACTCCTTTCTGCTATACCGTACCATTCTATACTATACGACTACGAATGAATTGTTCCCTTGTTTATCGTGGGAATTACATTGCAAAAATAACCCATGGTAGGTGAAATCTGCAAAGTAGGACACTTTTATTTTACCATGATTATATTGTGTGTTTTAAGGCTCAAAAGGGCGATCAAAAAACAATACACAAACTTGCATTTGAAAAAAATGCAAAATAGCGAATCCACCAACGGTAAAACGCAATATTGCGAGGAACCACTGTAATACATTAGATTTAGGTGGTATAAAGTACTATGCTACTGTTCTGCATTGTACTAAACTACTCTGTACTGTACTACACGACAACATACTTGAGTGTCCAGAATAACTACAGTGTGAACCCGTTATCGCAGGGTAAGTGTTCGAGACCCACCTGTGACATGTGAAAATTTGTGATAGAGAAGTACTCAACTATACTGTTCTCCACTTAGCTTTTCTACATTATGCTGTATTACACTACGTTACTAAAGGGCTGTGTGTGTCCGTGCAGCTTTGCGATGAGCCAGCGCCACTACACAGTGTCGGCCCGTCGCTGGTTCACGCTGGACGCCATCGAGTTGGAGTACGACGGCACCAAAGCGACGTTTAATGGCAGCAGGAACATTTACGCCCCCGCTGAGTACTCATACCGCTGCAAGTCCGTCAGCAGCTTCCAGTGGCCACAGCTCGTCCCGCATTCATCCAAAGATCCGGCCAATCAGTGGAGGGTTGCGTTTGAAGACTTCCAAGTAAGATCTAATGTCGATTTATTTGTCATGTAGCATTTTTCCAACATATTCATGTTGTATACACTGCTTGTTTACATGTTTATGTCAGTATACTTCTCATGTAGCACATTCACATCATATTTAATGTTTACGCTTCAAGTGTACGAAAACAGCATTATATGTTCCACATTTCTTTTTCTTCCTGTCCGTGTACCAGTCCAAACATTAATCTATAAATCATGTGCTCATGTGCTGACAGATTCAAGGCTTCAATGTGAGTGGCAGCAAATTCTCGTACGCCTCAGACTGCGCCGGTTTCTTCTCGCCGGGGATCTGGATGGGCTTGATGACCAGCCTCCTCATGGTTCTAGTGCTCACCTACGGCCTTCACATGATCATGCAGCTCCATACCATGGACCGCTTTGACGACCCCAAAGGCCCAGCTATCTCTGTGCCACAGACGGATTAGGCTTCCCATCCATCTACACACCTACCTTGTTACCATGCTCTTGTTTTTCCATCGACCCACACAATAGCATGTCCCTGCTTCTGTATTTCACAGGAATTCTTCCACCTTCCCCCTGCCTGCATCTGTCTTTGGTTTGTGGTGTAAACTAAGGTCTGGTTCCCCCCCAATCCTAAATCTTTTTGTGCCCAAGTAATCGTCATTCTTGAGGGGAAAAAAAAGATGTGCACAAATTGATGCTTGTTGGAGTAATTTAGTCCCACACGGGGAAAGAAATCTCGAATGTGAAATGTTATTTATTGGTGAAGGTGTTTGTGTGTGTGTGTGTTTTTTTTTTCTTCACCGAAGGGAATACATATTGTCGTTAGAAGGGAAGAATGTTTATGATGTCAACTGCTTTCATGTTGTTGGATGACTGAAGTGAAGGTGCTGTAATGTCAGTAAAAGTGTCTCTGGAATAAAATTAGACATGTATGATATAATTTCTTAGTCTAATAAGACCCAATGTGCATTCATCGTCAATACTGGTATGTGTAAAAACTAAACAATAATAAATGAGCTTTCCCTTGTCTATTTTCATAATTTTCATTCAGGGTGAGGGTGAAAAACCGACATTCACAAGCAATGAAGCGTCATTGTGTCATAAAACAGTGTTCCCAACCTTTTTTGTGTCATGGACCAGTTCAGACCATTACAGGCTGTTCGCAGACTGGCAACCATTGCTTTTAAATTGCCGATTTTAAAGCACTGGTACTGACAATAATGATAGTTATCCAGTCATTAAACATTTTCTAAAAAATATATATATATATATATATATATATATATTTCTTTCAGTTTTATTCAACAGTGCGACAAATGTAGAATGATATAAAATAACACCAAAAACGACAAAGAAATGGACCAATCAGGGAGAGTAAATACGCCTTATAATGTGAACATCATTTAACTCCACCCTGTCCCCCTCCTCTCACCGTCGCAACCTTGGTGTCCTTTTTGACAATACTGTAATCTCTCTTTCGACCAACACATCACCCAAATCACCAAAACTGCTTTCTTTCGCCTCAAAAACATTTCTCGCCTCCGCCCCTCTCTTTCAACGCCGCCCAAACCCTCATGCACACCTTCATCACCTGCCACCGTGACGACTGCAATCGCATCCTCTACAGTACAACCTCCAAACTCCTCAATAAACATACAGTACATCCAGAATGCCGCCGCCCGCCTTGTCACCCACATCCGCACTCGTGATCACATCACCCCCGTCCTTAAAAACCTCCACTGGCTCCCCGTTCCCCAGTGTATTCAGTTTAAACTCCTCCTACTCACCTAGAATGCCCTTCACAATCAGGCCCCCTTCTACCTCTCCGACCTTGTTCACCCATACACTCCTTCCCGCAACCACCACTCCTCTCATGCAAACCTCCTCGCCATCCCCGTTACCAAGATCAAAACCTGGGGGGACCGAGTCTTCACTGTCGCCGGCCCCACCATTTGGAACTCTCTCCCACAACACATCCGCAACAGTACATCCTTCAAAATCCTTTCTTAAAACTCACCCGTTCAGCCATGCTTTTAACATCTTTTAATCTCGTTTATCCATTTTTGCTTCGTTTTTCTTTTTCAAAATGTGTTTGTTTTAAATGGTATACGCTAGTCCTCCCTCAAGCGTCTCCAGGTTGTCCAAAATGCTGCTTCTCGCTTTCTAACTGGTGCTCGTAGTAGGGAGCACGTAACTCCAATTCTGGCCTCCCTTTACAAGCGATCCCTGTTTATTTTGCAGTTCATTTTAAGATTCTTTTATATGTGTTTAAATCTTTAAATGGTGTCGCCCCACCGGATCTGACTGTGCTTCTCCAACCCATGCGCACCTGCGTATTGTGTTGTTGAGTTTTGTATTTATTTTATTTTATTTAATTCTATTTTATTTTTTATTTTTTCGAAATGCACGAAGGAGTGGCACCCAAATTTCGTTGTATGCTATACAATGACAATAAAGGCGCTTCTGATTCTGATTCTGGTGCTTCGGGTCAACGGACTCGACGCTACTGGAGGTACCGAGGGGGACAAAGTGGAGCTTTTTTCTTCCCTTCCCTTCCTTTGCTTAATGTTTAACAGTAATGTTGAGGCAAGTCGCCTGATCTGTCCATCTTTAAAACTCGTTTTAAAAGACATTTTTCTTCTTTGGCTTCAGACTCAGCATTAGATTCAGCATAGTTTTAATGTTTTATGGTGTTTATTGTGTTTATGTTATTCATTCATTGTTTCAACTATCTTTGTTTTTGTGTGTCTATTTTGTACTCTGTGTACAGCACTTTCTATTCGTGTACTGTACTTGCAGCGATGGTTGTTTTTCAAAGCTCGGTAAATCGAGTTGAATTGAGGAAACGGTAGATGGCGCAATTGTCCAATATACTGCGTGACTGTACTCAGTACTGACGAGACCAAAGGGGGTGAGTGTTGCATTATGATGAGGCTTTGGCCAAAGCTGCTGATACAGGACGTAGTTTTCAAGGTTTGATGGCATGAATGCAAGTGTTGTACTTCTCCTGTTACACTCTACGCTCATTCGAGCACTGACAATACACATTCTGCACGCAAATAAAAGACTTGTGATTAGCAGTGCACATGTTCAGGCAATGACAGCTTAAATCATGTTGGGAGCCAAAGTCTGCACGCAGAGGAATGTCAGAAAAATTCCAGGACAGGTTTCGTAAAAGATGTGTTTCAAACCCAAACTAAAAACTACAAGTTTTCCCCTTTAGTGTAAGACAGACTGGTTCGCTGGCTGGTTTCCAAAGACATCTTGGGGCGATTACTTCGTCCACTGTGCGAGGTGAGGTAAATGTGGTGCTTGGCAGGACAACTAGTGGCTGCTTGATTACAACGCACCTGCTTTTGAGGCACTGAGAATTCGACAGTTCCTGGCATAGAACAACCTCCCGACTACGTTTGTATTATATATATATATATATATATATATATTTTTTTTTAACCAAGCACGAGCGGGTTGTCAGGTGACTTATTTTGAAGACTTGGGCAGCGTCAGGATGACCGTGATGATGGAGCTGTGGCGGATCCTGGAACAATCCTTCCAGGAGTGCATGAAGGTGTGGCACCGAATGCTGTGAAAGTGCGTTGGGCTGGTTCGATTACTTCCCAAGGTCAAAATTGGAGTTTGCATACGTAATATATCTTTTGTGACACCAGCCCTGGAACTTTTCTCATGTCATTGTGCTTTGGAATGGAGGCGATGAGTCATTGAGGTTATCCGCAATTATGTTTCGGTAATGGCTTTGACTACTTTACACTACCCAACAACAGGGGGCACAGTTGGTTCAGGCTAAACCGAGACGAAACCTTGTACTCGAAGTACAAGATTGAACAAGATTGCTTTTCCCTAGAAGAAAACATGGAAATAGAAATAATCTATTCTAGGCTGAAAGATGGAAACAATCAAACTCTTTGCTGAGGAAGTCGCAATGTGAATAATGAGTCCCTTCTGCACATCACAATTTAGTTAACCTCTTTCGATGTCATTGAAGTGTAAAAAGAAGTTAAGCCTACATTACACTTTTCTCCACGACACTGCACTTTACTTGACAAAATTACACTGCACTACACTATGCTATACTATACTTAATGACACCAAAACATGCATGCTATGCAGTTCCACCTTATAGAAATGTATCGCTACGGGAAAGAGGCTAACAAATGATGCAATGAAGTGTCAAAATGTCACAAAATATCTTTCCGCAATCCGGTCCGTATGAAGTTAGCATGACAACGACCAAAACAAAAATAATAAAATAAATACAAGCACAAGACTCTCACTTATTACGACATTGAGCAGAATGCCAAATTATATTTTCAATCATTTGTTTTTCTTTTTATCAACGCCACACCATCAAAAATACTGCTCTACTTGAATGGTGGTGCAAAAAAATTGGGGACCCCACTGTTCAAAGTGCAAAAAAAAAAAAAAAAGTTTCTTGAGGCCAAAAATTATACACTTTTGAATTTTGCTGTCGTGAAAATTAATTTTGCTGCATTTCACGACAAATAAATAAGAGTAATAAGTAATTCAAAGAACTCTTGTCCCTTGTCTTGGACCCCCAACTTAAAGTTAGTAGTAAAAAAAACAAAACTTTTTTTAAAATCAGACAATTGTTTTGGAGCAAACAACTAGTTTGCTTTGTTGTGGGAAGAAACATTGTTGCCATAAATGCCAATAATTTTAATTTTTAAGTTCCAACTTAAACTAATGATATAGACCCCAAAATACAAGTTGTTTTATTTATAGTGTATGTCCAGAACTCAACGGCCAGCACTTCCTTCCTCACCTCATTCAACATCTTTGGCTCCTCCTAAAGCACCGCACATTCACCTTTTTCTAAATGATGTACAAAAAATATGTTTTTTCATATAATAATTATTAACCATTAAATTAATTGCTGAATTAATTGCTAAATTAATTCATCAATCAATTAATACAGATTTTGGAAAATATGGAATAGGCTTAATAGATAAATTGGTGTGGAAGTGAATTTCTTTCGGTTGGTTGCTCTGAGAAATGTAAATTGTGAGGCCAAACTAAGCCCTTAACGAGCTGCTGTCACGACACCATTTGAGACTCCACCTCAACAGGCAGACTTCATGGGAGTGTCTTCAATCAAGTCATTATCAAAATTGTTACATTTCATGCAGTGCGTGGGCCAATTATACTGGAGGAGTGGCATACCAAGCCACTGAGCAGCACTGATGTCGCGAGAGGTAGAGTCATGTTGGGTGTGTTATGAACAATTAGTCCAAAATAAAGGCCATCACATTTTCAAGGTGTGATGTTTTGGTTGGGTTTTTTTTTTTCCTTGCGGGTGACACTCCCTCTTATTGGGAATGTCTGTGGAAGATCACCGTCGATGTCACACGCTCAGCCACCTTCCATGAATTCAGTGGAGGGAAAACAAAAGGTTAACTAAAGATGACTTTACGGGTCCCAGGCATCCCTTCACTTTTTCAACTCTTGTGGCCATGAGCGCTTCGCTTTTGCAACTCTTGTGCCCATGAGATGTGCACTGCAGAGCTGCAGTCTCTTCTTCAAAATGCTCATCGGTCAAGCTAGTCGATTGATTGAGAGGTTTATTTAGCACCAGCACAAAAGAGAGCATATTTAAACTTTCCCTGATAAAGCCCAAGGGCATGATTCCATTGTGGTCCTCAACATTTAAAACAAAAACAAAAGCAAAAAAAAACAACAACTTAAGACATGAAAACAAAGACATAAAAGCCCAACATCTAATCATCAGTTAGTCTAACAAGTAAGAACAATGAATTTCAAGCATTCACATAACCGTGAACACGTTCGTTTTTTCTTTTAAAATGCAAAAACAGGGGAACGGCAGCAGCACAATAGCACTCCAAATAATAATTCCATCCATCGATCCATTTTCAACACCGCTTATTAGGATTTTTTTGATTATTCTGGAAAATCATTTACTCGTTTAGAGACCATATTTAATTTAAAATGATCAAAATCCTTGGAATGTCAGCCTCTCTAGAGTAAATATTCTCCGATTTATATAGTCCTCTTTGAAATCAGACTGATTACACCACAGGTGTCAAACTCAAGGCCCGGGGACCAGATGTGGCCTGCCACGTCATTTTAAGTGTCTCGCGAAAGCAAATCAAAACTGACAAATTCCATGATGCTTGCTAAAATCTGGACCAAAATTTCAAATTTTCATATGTAATAAATCAGTGGCATTTTCTTGTTACCAAACCCTTATTGTATTGTATTGTATTGTATTGTATTGTATTGTATTGTATTGTATTGTATTGTATTGTATTGTATTGTATTACAGTTACTAAAACGATAATCGAATAAAATGTTATTCTTTACTTCTTGATATAATTTCAGTCAAACGGCCCTGCAAGGGAAACGCTAATTATAATGTGGCCCGCGACAAAAATGAGTTTGACACCCCTGTATTACACTGACCAACAAACACACAGAAAAAAAATGCTTGAGTGCCAAAAATATTTTAATGGTTTCTGGGTAATTTGAGGCTGTTCTATCCAAAACTGACCTTAGTTTCTTTGCAAAGTACGGTTCCTGACCCCCTATGATGATTCACATAAATGGGCATAATTTTCCAGTGCCCATACGTGGATCATCGGGCCCCCCTCTGGTGTCAGGCCTGGAAGGTGGGGCTTGCTTGCAAGTGTCTGGAGGCCGGGACTGTACCCATGGACCCCGGATCGGCTCCGTTCGAAAGGACACCGTTATCACCCTTCCCATAGGCTCACGACATGTGGGACGGGCCAAGGTGGTCGGTGCAGTGTGAGCTGGGAGGCAGCCAAAGGCCGCCTTGGCAGTCCAATCCCAGGCTACAGAAGCTGACTCTAGGGATGTGGAACGTCAGGTCTGTGTCAGGGAAAAAGCTTGCGTTGGTGTGGGAGTTTGAGAAGTTCCGACAGGATTATAGTCAGGCTTGCCTCCACAAAGCTTGGGCTCTGGTACCGGTCCTCTCAAAATGGGGGTCGACTCTCTTCCATTCTGGCGTTGACCACGGTGAGCGCCGCGGAGCAATAAGTATTCCCACACCTGCTCAGTACCTGTATGTTGGGGGTCACCCTGGTGGTCGAGAGGGTAACCTCCCTCCTCCTTTGGGTGAGGGGACGGGTCCTGACAATTGTTTGAACCTATGCACCAAAAAATAGTTCAGGGTACACCCAATTTTTGGGGTCCATGGAGTTCGTGCTGGAGAGCATTCGTACTGGGGGCTTCATTGTTCTGATGGAAGACTTCCATGTTCATGTGGGAGATGACAATGAGACCTGGATTGGCGTGATTGAGAGAAGCGCCCCCCCCCACCCCCCTGATCAGAACTCGAAGGGTTTATGTTATTACGCTTCTGTGCTCATCACACATTGTCAGTAACGCACACTGTTCAAGCATAAAGATGTCCGTATGCGCATCAGAAAACGCTTTGCTGACGAATCTCTCTACTTCAGAGAGCACAAAATCGCAGTGCATGTCTCAGACGACATCAGGGTGTGACTACAGGGAGTGTAACAGTCAAACTCAACTAATTAAGAAGTCAAAAGAACATTTCCGTGTTCACAAGAGCACCGCCCTGACTCTCCAACGCCTCACCACATGTTGCATTCCTGACTTTATGGTTCAAAGCATCAACTCTCAATCCACCCTTCCTCTCTTAACGCTTTTAATTGACAAGAAAAAAAGGGAGAAGCCAAAATGCGATGAATTAGACTTGGTGGGAGATTTTGGAAAGAGTTGGATTTGATATGAAGATATGTTGCCCGTATTCCACAGGAGAGCGGTGGTTATGCATCAATTAGCATTTTATGTATCAAACATAAAGATAATTGAACAAATAAAGTGGTCGACCCCATCTCACACATCCACATGACGGGAATCAGTGAAAATAAAGTCAATCCTAAATTGGACCTGGATGGCTTCCTTTTTGGGTCCCATTGTTTGCTTGGGGCGGACAAGAACTCGTCTGATGTGTCACGTGGTATGAGTGACACGTTCGGCATTCCGGGACTGCGTCACTCTGACATATAAAAAGCAACACTCTTGGTCGCCCTCCACACATCCTCTCAGCATCAAGCATCACGACTGCAAAGGTAACATGACACAATTTTACAGCCTCCCTTTTCACTCTCCCATGTCTGCCATGGCAGCCTTCCGACATTAGTATTCAACATACAAAGCTAAGCCAATGACCTTAAGTAAATTCAGTGTAAAACGTGAAGTTTCTCTTTTTTTCATCTCTCATTGCACAGATGGCATTTGCTCTTCGCTCTTTGCTTCTCCTGTGCGGGATCAGTGGACTGTTGACTGGAGTTGTAAGTGACAATTAGAAAGTTCAAAAACCCACTCTTTGAAACATTCTTTACAAGATTGGCTTCATTAAAAGACAGCAACTCTGTCAATCCCCAAATCCATTCCACTTCGTTTGACGTCACTGCTTTGCATTTTGATATGAACAATGTGCTTCTCTCCTCTTTGTCTTTGCAGTGGAGTGATGAGACCGTGACAGGTTGGTAACTGTGAATGAATCATGCATGGAACCAGATTTTTTTTTTTTTTACTTTTTTCGTCTTCTAGCTAAAATAATGACTGTGTTGTAGTTCCTTGCTGTCCAGATGGCTGGGTTCGGTTGCAGGACCGCTGCTTCATCTACATCAATAACCCACTTTCTTTTTCAGCTGCAGAGGTATGGAAGACTTTCAAACAATAGCTGTGGTGTACTTCGAAATCATCCATCCATTACAATCCATCATTCAACTCTGTCCAAAAGTCCACCTATCATTCTTAGATCTGGATCAACTCTGTACATTCAGAGCCTGTACAGCGGACTGTTACGTTTAAGTGTTTGTGCAGCGATGTACATGAAATGACATTTGAAATCTTTCCAAAAGGGTGGACCTTTAATTCCTTGTCAATTTCTTGTTTCTTAATCTCTCCCAATAGGCGGCTTGCCAAAATGCTGGTGGGAATCTGGCCTCCATCCGAGATTCAGTGGAAAATGCCCTGTGCTACCAACTGGTTCTGGATGCTAACAATAACGCGATCGTAGATACCTGGATTGGACTCAATGATGGTGTTGAGGTGAAACATTGTCTAGTAAAACATTACTAATGGAATCATGTCACTTGTCACTGGAGGTATTTTTGCCACATAGTGAATGAATGTGGTATGGAGTTGTGTGTCGTGATTAGAGCAGTGTTAGGAATTCATAAGAGGATGTTTGAACTGGAGAGAGCATTTCTTGTCTTTAGCCATGGTTGTTTATCACAATGTGGCTTTGTTTTGCAGGAGGGAAGATTTGTTCGGAATGATGGCTCAGTATCCAAGTTCCTTAACTTCAGAGGGCCAATACAGCCAGATAACTTCATGGGCAATGAAGACTGTGCTGAGATTGACACTGAAGGTATGAATATGTATATATACACACACACACACACACACACACACACACACACACACACACACACACACACATATTTTTTACCTTTAAGTCTTCATTTAAAAAAAAAAAAAACCAATGTAAAATGCGTGCTCATGCATTTGGAACAGAAGATGATATGAAGTTGACATTTGATTATTTTTCGTACCTACAGGCCAATGGAATGATGAAACCTGCTCAGATACACAGGATTATCTTTGCTCCATAAACCTGTGGTAAAGAATCAGCACTCCAAGTGGAACCCCGTGGAATATCTTTTCCTCCATCTTGATGCCTCCTTATGTCAAGATCAATTTTAAATGGTGTTCTTGTTTAACTGGATCAACGACAACATATTTTCTTCTTCCTCTTCTTCCTCTTGTTCTCAAACTATTTTGGTTTCTCGCCAATAAATGAAGGAATCTGTATGTGCATCAGGGGTGTATGTTGCTGTTAGTTCCAGAAAGTCTGCCGTCAAAACCACACACACTCACACACACGCACACAAAAAAGGATAATGGGCTTCATTCAGCAGCTTTGTTGCTTCTTAAGGAATGCATTTAATCAACATTTAATCTCTGACCATTTCCTGATATCAACCGCTGATTAAATCTCCATCCATTCATCCATCCAAATTTATGAGCCAAAGTCCGAAGGAAGCCTGACCACCCCCCGACCCCACCCTCTAAAAAAACTGTCTATCGGGCTATTGCCGTCTCCGCTGTTTTGAAAGTGTTCTATAAATACATTTGAGTTGAGTTGAGTTGAGTTGAGTTTTGAGAAAGCATATTGGCCTTCAGAATTTCCTAGTTACTCATTAACTCATTAAGTTACTAAGCGATGCATGTCCTTACGGGCATACTTCTCAATATCAAAGGAGGGGCTTATTTTCTGACCTGATAATTGAAGCAGTTCTTTTACCGCTTATTTCAACTGCTAATGTGTCCCCTCAGTGGTTGCCCCACTGTGGCAGCAGATTATTTTCTATCTCACCTGGCGCTTTTTGTAGCTGCCGTTTTATGCGATCGGCAAAACTAATATGTAACAGACCAAATTGAAATCCATTTAGTCTGGCTATGGAAAGTGAGAGTGCACATTAAAGGTTTCTGAAAACACTTTATTAAACAGGTGAAGAGAGAGAGAGAGAAACAGCTTTTTAAACAACCTCTAAAAAGATGAGAGAGATGTGGTCTCAGTGGCACACGTGGACAATACGGAGGCTCTCACCCAGTACCAACTGGAAGTTGATGAACTGGTCTCAACTTCGAGTGAGAAATCACCTGAATGAATTATATCAAAGACAAAGGAGTTGTGCGGTGTGAGCAGAGACAAAGCACCAATTACATGTCAGGCTTTTAAACCTTCGTTTATTCTGGAAGAACAGGTTGAATGGGTAAAAGTGTTTGGAGTATCTGGGGACCAGGTGGAATTGAAGTCGAGGGGGGCTGAGATCTCAGACAGGCAAGATTGATTTCACTGTTGCGGGACATCTACATGACATACGGTGCACAAAATGTCAAAGGATAAGAGAAATCGACTTGTATGAATACCTTGAATACTAATATTTAAAATTCTCTTTGCTCCTCCCTCCATCTACGCCCTAAATGTTAATGGCAATCTAGTAGTTAGCTTGTCAGTTGCACCTCAATAATGCATTAGCACCTTAGCTGTTCTCAATCCAATTCAGAGGAGAGTGGTGGCGCCTCTGATCAACTTCAACATTTTCCGTCGAGAAAACAAAAAAACATCAGCTAACTCCAACCTCACTACGTAAACAGCGGGTTCTGATTAAATGCAGTAAAAATGAAAAATGAGGAGCAGCTAACGTTAACTTCTGCTGCCGAATGCTTCCGGTCACTTCTCACTCTCAAACATTCTGTCCGAAACGGAAAATTTGAAAATACGACAACTATATTCAATATGTCGTCAATGAAGAAATGGAGCGGTAAATCAGATCATCTCATAATTGTTTGGTTTTGCTGCGTGCTGGTTTCACCAGTTGAAAAAAATAACAGCGAGAAAACCCATCGTGAACAAGCAATGTAAAGTGAGAAAACTACTGAGCGATGAAAATTTATGCCAAATTAAGAGGTCACGTAAACGTAACCGGGATGGATCAGAACCCGTGTTTAGATGAAATTCAGAACGAGTGAATTGGACTCAATATATAAATTTGCTGTTCAGATGCACTTAGGCTGCAGATCTGGTGTTAATTCAGCACACCAGGCTGTTCATTTTAACAAAGTGCCTATATGCATCCACACTACCTGGTGTGAAAGTAACATTTACTAAAGGGTTAAATATTCAATGCGATGATGATGTGTCCTGTAAAATATCGCATTTTTGTTCACTTGTGCTCTTTGTGTTAGACATGTAGCTAGTGTAGTTAGTCACTTAACTGTACGCACAGCTGCGTAGCTGTGGGGATCGAGTCAATCTGGGATGATTTGTTTCAGAAGAAAAATGTTTTGTTCTACTTCCAATTTATGATAATTGAGAGTGAATGTCATGGGAGAAACAACTGAAGCAACAGCAATTGTAGAGCACAACAACTCGGCGTAGATGATGCCAAACATTACAATTACAGTACTGCAGACAATACGCTTTATAGAATTGCTACTTTGAAGGTCGTGTGAATGGAACACTGCAGAAATCTCTACCAGCTTTTAATCCTGATGAAGAACCGTGAGACCGAATGTTCATCTAAATAAATGAAGCCAATTTTGTTTGAAACACAAGGTCTTTCCACCTGTGCATTTTTTTTTTTTTGTTTGTCTGGTAGTTTTTGTTTTTGTTTTTTTGTTTTTTTTTTGCAAAAGTTAGACTTGAAACAATGTCAAAATAATATCAATATATTGGGGTGAAATTTCAAAGAAGCTTGATCTTGAAGTAATGCCAAAACAACATCAATAACATAAGAATACATCAACTGAAATCGTAAATGAGTTGAGATGTATTTAAGTACAAAAACATTTTTCTTTTTCCTTGTCAAAAAGAAAAATGAATGAGCGGAAATTAAATCTGTTTTTTAAAAAAAAAGATAAAATCACTAGAAGTAAGATGTATGTTGTCATAGAAACGAGATGTAAACATAATTGCTTTTGTCACATTTGGAGACTTGGTCTTGTTGAGCAATAGTAGGGAGTTGGTAGGGCTTCGTTTTGGGTGGGCTGGGGGAGGGCTCAGGAAGCTTATGAATGGGCGCCCAGAATTTGGTGCTACGCTCATGTCAATAGTATACTATTTACAAAAGTAACAGAACTTTAAAAGGGCAAAAGGATATGTGGTGTGAGTAGTGGTGTGTATCCCCAATCTCCACGTCGTCACCTCCACGTTTCTAAAAAAGTTCCAATAAAGGAGAAAGTATAAAACAAAGAGCAATTACAATTCTCAACGCCCCATTTAACTGTTACAACACATCCTCCATATTTTTTTCCTCCATTGTTACAGTTTCATCTGTGTATGCATGTGACCATGTGATAGAACCAGGAAGTGCCCTCAAGGCACAATCGCACCCATTTTAACAAGGATTGACGCAAGCTTCGTAAGTGGCTTTGGCCAACCGTGAAGATCCGATACCAGGACACAGCCAACATCACTGACGCAGGGACTGGTTTGGATCTTAAGCCAAAACGAACACCTGCGACTTTCTTGTTTCTTCTCATGTGGGCTGTTTCATTCATTCTTGGGATGTTAGCACAATCATATGGGATACGTGAGATTCGAGACGTACATGGAAATAGCCCTAACCTGAACCCAGATACAGGCTTTGCCGCCAGAATTGTGACAATTGTCAAACAAAAAAAAGTGTAAAAACGCAAGTCACCCCTCCATTAACCTCTCGGCACCCACATTTGACAGAACGAATGAATGCCTCAGTAGAGACGTAAGAGATTCCATGTCGAGCCAACATTGGTTGTCGCAGTTCAACAGGACGAGTGGCATACCAAACAACCAAGCAGCACTGACGTTGTAACTTTTCACAGATGTTCATTGAAATTCATTTAGCATGGGTGTGCCATCAATTATGAAGTTTTAGCGTCACCCGCATGTTTGCGTCGTCCAACTTTTAGGGCGTGTTGTTGAGTTATTGTCAGGCTCTGATTGGTATCCGCATGATTCATCAAGGCAGAATTTAATTGGACTTCACCTCACTTGCACCACCCGATCCTGTCCAGGTGGTGAAATGCTTGTGTTGAACGAAGGCTACAGGTCCTCAAATGTCTTGTCATTGTTGACAATGTTCTCAGGAAATGACTTGAACACTTCATTGTCTTTTCGTGTCGCCCATTGCAGCGAATCGCTGCCCTTTACTCGTCCTACTCTCATGTGTACTGGCCCATCTCAGGTGCATATACAGTGATCCCTCGCTATTTCACGGTTCGTTTATCGCGGCTTCAGTGCATCGCGGATTTTTTCAAACATAATCATAAAAAAATAAAAAATAAAAAAATGTTTTTTTTTCATTTACATGTAGTACAGTACTGTATATGTTGCTCTATGCGACTCGCTGTTGTTTTGCTGACTTTCACAGCTTCTCGCGGACCGTTTGCAGACTTTTTGCGGAATTAAAAAAGAAAAAAATTATATGTTTACTGTATTTTGTTATTCATAACCTAACCTAACTTATACATGTTTAAATCTATTAGTATAAAGCATTAAGTCATGTTAATTACCTCAAAATTTACTTCTACATGCATGTATACCATTAAATTTGGCCTTATAAATATTATGTACACGTACCTATATGGAGGGGGGGGTCGCTACTTCGCAGATTTTCGTTTATCGCGGGTGGTTTTGGTCCCCATTAACCACGATAAACGAGGGATTACTGTATTTTTATTAAAAAAAATGTTGCCATTGTTTTAGTGCACTTGAACTCTTCATTTGAGTAACAGGAGCGAAATTAGCAAGGGTGAGTTTTTAGTTTTAGACATAGCAAATACATGAAATATAGTCATATGGTATTTTTTATTTATATATATTATTATATATATTTATGGGCGGCCCGCTAGTCCAGTGATTAGCACGTCAACTTCACAGTGCAGAGGTACCGGGTTCGATTCCAGCTCCGGCCTCCCTGTGTGGAGTTTGCATGTTCTCCCCGGGCCTGCGTGGGTTTTCTCCGGGTACTCCGGTTTCCTCCCACATTCCAAAAACATGCATGGTAGGCTGATTGAACACTCTAAATTGTCCGTAGGTGTGAGTGTGAGCATGGATGGTTGTTATATATATATATATTTATTTATTATTATTATTTTTTTTGCTAAGACAACATTGTCACGATGCACCTTACAGTGAAACAATTATTTTTAAAAATAAATGAACAACCATCCCCAAAAATGTAGGGAACCACCCTGTCATAGTTGAAATATCACCAAATGTAGCGAAAAAGAAATGAGTGAACTTACATTTGGCCATTCGCATGGCCTGC